TGTGTGTGTGTGTGTGTGTGTGTGTGTGTGTGTGATGCAGTTACAGTGCCGACCTCTCGACCTCTTGTTTTTGTAGGATCAGGTGGAGCCCATGTCTGGAATGAGCTTATTGGCTGGGAAGGCGCTAAGCTCCGCCCGCATGTCGGACATCCTCAGCCAATCGTCTCTGACAGGAAGCCAGCAGCTGCAGCAGAGGGAGGGGTCAGGTGTGTAAACGCACTACACACACACACACGTGTTCTCTCTCTCACTGACGGTGTTGTGTGTGTGTGTGTGTGTGTGTGTGTTTAGCGTGTGACGTGGAGGCAGACGTTCACCCCGCCGCGTGCTACCCTTCCTCCTGCACCAGTGACATGCTGCTAAGCTACAAAACCCCGGATCTGCAGTACAGCGTGGAGCAGGCCGGGGTCTAATGAACACAGGTACAGTGCACCAACACTTCATTATTTATTATATTAACAAATCAGGATTCAATGACTATCGTTGTTTGGTAACATTTAATTTTAAGGTGTCTTTGTTACACAGGTTACATGTACTTACTATTATAAAAACATTTAATTATGCATAATTACATGCAAAGTTACCCTAAGACAAACCCTAACCACACAGTAAGTACATGTAGTTAATTAATATGACTCAGTAACGACACTGTTGTCTTTAGAATCAGAACTGAAGCATAGTTGAGTTTCCGTCACTGATGGGTTTATTACTGTGACACTGCTTTGAATCAATCTGCATCATATAAAGCACGATAGGAATGAAGATAAAACGTGAGATGTTCACACAACTCAGGCAAAACCTTTCACTCCCATTGGCTTCTAATTTTCATTTTTCTGATATTAACTAAGAAGTTTTTTACCAGTTTTTCACATACACCGATGCACAACACAAATGATGAACTACAAATGCCAAACACATTTCCATGGATGTATTGGATGGTTTTTCATCTTCAGAAGTGGAGCTGTGTGAAAAACATCATCCGTGTACGTCTGAGCCGATAATGTATTTAAGGTGTAAACATGCCTGTTTATTGTGATTATAATAAGCATATTTTACTATGATTATGAGTTAATCACATCAGTTTGCGGTATTGTGTTAATATATTGCCTAAATCTCATTATAATCGCATTATGAGGGTGCATGCAAACATAGTGTGTATTTTGAAAAGGGTCACATACTTATGCACTATTCTGTGCTGTTTTGTAGTATTAATAATGTGATAGTGCTTTCACAGTGAAAATTCCAAAAAGAAAAAGCGCACTTCAAATACCTAAATGATGCACTTAAAGGGTTAGTTCACCCAAAAATGTAAATTCTGAATTTACATTTTTGGGTGAACTAACGCTGTAACTGAAAATGGAATGATGGACACTTAATGACATGCTGGAGGGGGCGGGGCTATCAGACTTGACTTAACATCAGCTTATGTAACTGATACTCCGTCTGTAACTTTAACACACGTGTTTGTTTGTGTGTTTTTCTCTCGCAGGGGTGTATTTGCTGTATAAAGCTCATATCCGTCTGCTGTGTTGTGCTGTCATGCCAAATCCTCATCGTCTGTCTGTTGGGGTGTCGTGGGTGTGGCCTGCACGCAGGGGGCAGAGCTCCTGGCTTCCTCTTCCGCTGGGAGCGTCTCCAATTGGCTGCAGCCCAGTAATCATCCGAAACCCCTCCTACCGTTGCCATAGCGGTGCTGTCGCGCACTCCGATGTACAAGGCAAACACAGAGTCTTACGTAAACACACACACACACACACACGAAGAGACGTCTTTACCAAACACCACAAACCCAAAGTATTTCACGTGAAGCCTGCGCCGCGGCGGATCATTCCGGTCACGATCGACCTCTTCCGCCGGGACAGTCGACTCTCACTCGCTCTCCACTTTCTTCACTTCTGTTTTTATTTTTAACGCATTTTTATGGCTAATGTTCTGTAGGAATAATGCTCATTATTGTTCTTGTTTTCTGTAAAAGACGTTTTATGGTTATGACATTATTAAAAGAATGACGATTATTATTAAAACCGCTCTGTGTTGCAAGAGAACAGCCGCGTTTGTTTCCTCACGGTGATTTTTGCACTTTCAGTTTTTGTGACTTTCCTTTCGGTTTCGCTCTTCCTCCCTGTTTCTCGTTCTCCTCCTTCATTCCGTCCGTCCGTCTGACGACAGGTGCATTGTGGGTAGTTTCTCAGATCCTTCTCATGGGCCATCTTCTTTTCTGTTTCAGAGCTTTATCGGTTATTTTTTGTGGATGTTGTTGGGAAAGCTTTTGTATATTGTTGATTTTGCGGTTTTATTTCTGTTCTGATGTCATGTCGGATGGACGCTTCGTTTCACATCTCGCTCTGAGTTTAAAGCCCAAACGCGCCCAAATTGGACGATTTTTCAGTCTGACCAATCCAATAACTGTCATGTGATCGTCTGAGAGACGGGTGCGAGTCTGTGATGAAGAGCACCATCATCTGTTTGTGTCACGCTCCTCCCTCTTGTCCTTTATAGAGCTTTGTCATTTTCTTTTGTTTTGTTTATTTTTGGCTTTATGTTTTTGGAAAAATACTAAAGTGCAACAACAATGGTTAAAAAAGATTCCAAACAAACTGAGAGAAATAATAAATATATATATAAATAAAGAAATGACTATGACAGAGGTGTGTGTGTGTTCCTTCAGCGGCAGTACCGCGGTATGGCATGGTAATACTGTGCTACACAACCAGAAAACACCTTCACCGTGTTCGTTTATGAAGCACTTCTGCTAATGTAACTCACAGGACTGCAGCTGCTTTATTAGTTTTATAATTGATGAATTTTCAACACTCTTATTTTCCTGTATTTTGCTGCTTTGGAACAATCTGTACTGTATAAAGCGCTATAGAAATAAGCAAATGTTAGCACTGAGGTACCTGCATGTGTTTCAGGCCAGAGCCAGCTAACAAAAATAAGTTGTGAAAGTGTTATTTCTGAGTTCTCTGAACATTCAAAACATCCAGGTTTTTTTTAAACGTTTAGTTTGGTTGAGTGAACTTTAAGGGAACATTCCATTCTACTAATTTGCAAACATTTTGAATGTTGTCTGAAAGTTCTGAAACAATTTGTAACATTTAAAGAAAGTGTTACATGAAAGTATTTGAAGGTGTGCTTGTTACAGTGTAATTATACATTTTAGCAGAGTTGGGGAAAGTTACTTTTAAAAGTAACGCATTACAATATTCCATTACTTTTTATGGAAAGTAATGCATTACGTCACTTTAGCGTTACTTTTTCTCATCTGGGCTGGGCTTGCTTGTTTTTAATATGAAAAAGGTTCTATTAATGGCAAATATAAAAGCCCTTTCATTCCTTCAGGTTCATTCCCAAGGAAATGTAAATTCATGCTCAAACAAGCCTTTCTGGATAGGACACAGAAGAAGAAAGTTCATTAGTCTTCAGCAACAACAAAATGAAACGCAAATCTTATGTTTATTTTAGGTCTTTATTAGTATGGTTGAACTGGATCATCGAAAGTCAGCAGCAGAGACATCGGTTAATAAAATGGGATTAAATACATAAAGGATGTTTGTGTAATTTAACATTATTGCAGGTTTGATTCTGAGTTTGCTTTTCACTGTTTTTATTGATTCTGTGGAACACAATGTGTTTGTGTGCAGTGAGATGAGTAAACACATGTTGATATTTAGTCTAGAACTACAGTAAGATCATGTTCACACACAACGCTCTGCACTTACTCCTGATTTCTGTCACCATGGCAACACCAGAGCTGTCACTCAACACATGGAAACAAAGTAACTCCGATATTTTCTTGTAAATTAAAAAGTAACCCGTTACTTTGCTAGTTACTTGAAAAGTAATCAGATTATGTAACTCATGTTACTTGTATAATGCGTTATCCCAACACTGCAAGTACTGAGTAATATTAATTAACTACCTGTACTTACTATATGGGTTAGGATTAGGGTTTGTCTTAGGGTTACTTGCATGTAATTCTGCATTATTTATTATCATTATAATGTAACGTGTAACAAGGACACTAAAATTAAGTGTTACCTAATGTTTTTGTGCTAACGCTTTGAGAACGTTATTAAAGGCCAGATGACGCTGAACAAACATTATATTAACGCTACTGGAAGAACGTTTGATCTTAACTTTGAGGGAATGTTACGTGGACGTTATTTCTGAGAACGTTTGTTAATTATGGATATGCTCAGAATAAATGTCAGGGAAAAGTAGCAGGTTACGCGTTACCAGCCTTCACCTCAGGACTGATTCTGAAGTTCGGGAGAGAAACTGCTTGTTAGCGTCTGGTTTCACGCAGTGAGTGTTTTTGTACTGAGGAATAAATCAAAACTGATGCTTTTCTTCCTCATCGTGAGTTCTGTGTGCAGCTGCTCGGGTCTGAATGTGAATCTGCACTGCAGAGGTTCAGCAGACCTGACGAGTCGAGCTCAGATTATTCTGCGTATGGCAAGCCCTTTTTACATTTAATCCATAAAACGTGCTAGTATGTATTTTCATGCTGCTAGTACGTATTTTTTAGCTACTAGTAGTTCTGTTAAGTACTAGTACTTATTTGTTGGCTACTAGTGCTTGCTCTTTAGGTGCTGGTAGTCTTTTGAAAGATAATAGGACTTAAAGTAATACTATTTAATAAATAAGTACTGTATCTAATTAATACTTACTAGTACGCAGTGTTGGGAAGGTTACTTTGGAAATGTAATTGGTTACAGATTACAAGTTACCCTACTTAAAATGTATTAGTAGGGTATAACTTTTTCAATTACTTTATTAAAGTAATGTAACTGATTACTTTTAATTGCTTTTTGATTACTTTTCTAAATAAATGTTTTCAACTGTTAATCATTTTCAAACATTTACACCATGCAGGGTTACATTACAGTAGTATTCAACACTGATTACTGACTTTCAAAATCCTTCATCACTTGAGTTAAGTAGATAATAATTGAACACATCCACCTCAAAATCAGTACCGCCTTTTACTTTGAGATTGATCTGAAGTTCAATGCAGATTTAAAATCATAAGAAATAGTTTACTGATACTGTTTTTGAAACCAAAACTTTGCATACCTACAGAAAACACTGGCATCTAACAATGCTTTGGGGGGAAAAAAACAATTAATAAAAAAATAATAAAAGCATATACATCAACCCAAATATGGTTATCTAACAAGCATGTGTCCTATTCTTTGTACTAAACTCCTGAAACATTGGTGTCTTTTTGAAACATTGGTGTCTCTTTGTATATAATATGATGATAGTTTTCTCAAAATAAGTAAAATGCTCATGAAGTGACTCAGAGCAGTTATTAGTAGGGTATAACTTTTTCAATTACTTTATTAAAGTAATGTAACTGATTACTTTTAATTGCTTTTTGATTACTTTTCTAAATAAATGTTTTCAACTGTTAATCATTTTCAAACATTTACACCATGCAGGGTTACATTACAGTAGTATTCAACACTGATTACTGACTTTCAAAATCCTTCATCACTTGAGTTAAGTAGATAATAATTGAACACATCCACCTCAAAATCAGTACCGCCTTTTACTTTGAGATTGATCTGAAGTTCAATGCAGATTTAAAATCATAAGAAATAGTTTACTGATACTGTTTTTGAAACCAAAACTTTGCATACCTACAGAAAACACTGGCATCTAACAATGCTTTGGGGGGAAAAAAACAATTAATAAAAAAATAATAAAAGCATATACATCAACCCAAATACGGTTATCTAATAATCATGTGTCCTATTCTGAGTACTAAACTCCTGAAACATTGGTGTCTTTTTGAAACAATGGTGTCTGTGTGTATATGGTAATTAACACTCCAAGATGGCGGCTGTGCGTGACATGCGTGTCTTGTAACCTTTTGTTTGTCGTTGTTTTATGCTCTTTTTCGCTTGTATTCTGCTGCTAAAATTAGGATATATCTCTTATTTGTTTGCCTGCTTGGCTGCCTGGTACGGTGGATTCCAAAAGACTACGTGCCTATAAGCGCTGAGGAACCTGAAAATGTGCCGTGTTTGTGGATTTTTCCAATTCTTCCGAACACTGTGACTTCCTCGGAGCAGGTTGTCGGAGATTTCACCATGAGAACCTGGGTGTTCATGAATTGTTTTACTCGTCAAGCACTCTGTATTCTGGGAGTTGGATCGAGAGGACTGCGATGCCTGTGGGCCTACGGAAAAAGAAAGTTGGCTCCTTATGCAACGTCCAACTGCAGTGATCATCCGACTGAGTCAACGAACTCTGATAATATCACTAACAATGTAGGAGACATGGTTACATAAATCTATTACAAACTCCATGATACACATCGAGGGATACAACGTCTACAGATCAGATCGCACAAAAAAAGGTGGAGGAGTAGCAATTTATGTTAAGTCGACGTTAAACTGTACTTGTATTCAATCTAGCAGCAAGCCAAATTGTTTTGAACCTTTGACAGTTCAATTAAAATTTTCAAATGGTCCCGATATCATTGTGATTGGAGGTTATCGTCCACCGTCAGCGTCAAGTGAAGCTATCACTTACATACTAGTCAGAACTGAATAGTTGATATCTGAATGACAGATCCACATAGAAGTCAGTGGTAAAAATATGAAACGTGTTACTAGTAACAGTAGAATAGTTACTAGCAGGGTTGGGTGTAATGCAGTACTAATTAGTTAATTACTGTAATTTAATTTTTTTGATTACAGTTACTTCTAATGTAATTGCATTTAATACTGTATAGACTATTGAACAATTCCATATAAAACAGTATATTTTTTCTATATAAAACAATATCAAAATCTATATTTGTTAAGTTCAGGAATAATTGATGTAATTTTATGTTATTTATTTTAAAGAGTTAAGAGAGCAGGTTCATGTCTATCCTTGTATAATTCAACTGGTCGAGGTTGATATGGTATTTACAAAGTGATTAGTAATAAGTAATGCAATACTATTTTAGAGAGAGTAATTTACATAGTAATCTAATTACATTGTTGAAGATGTAATTAGTAGCTAGTAATTAATAACATTTTTTAAAGTAACGTACCCAACACTGATTACTAGTCACTACTGAAATAAGTACCAGCATCTAATAAAAAAGCACTAATATCTAATGAATACGAACTAGCATCTTTAAAAAGTTGCCAGTACCTAAAGAATAAGCTCTAGTACTTAATGGAATAGATGCTAGTATCTTAAAATAAGTACTAGTAGCATTAAAATAGGCACTAGTATGTGTTAAGGATTAAATGTTAACTCGGCTTGCCATATGAGCGTGTGTGTGTGTGTGTATGTGTGTGTGTGTGTGTGTTCTGAATGGCTCCTCAACCGGTCAGAGTCAGCAGCGTCTCTGTGCACAGAGGTAAAACACTGAGTGTGTGTGATTTATGTGATGTGCATCATATGTACAGTATCAGTGTGTGTGTGTGTGTGTGTGTGTGTGTTCTGCAGCTGTGAGATGATGGTTCTGCATGTCAGCATCACACTGGAAACACTGTGTTTTGTGTTGCTGACTGATGCATCTCAATCACACACGCATGAGTCTGAAGGATTCACTGCTTCGTTTACATGTGATAGCGGACGGTCAGTAGACTTGTGTATCAGTTGACTGTCTGAGAATCTCCTCTGTGTGTGTG